TCTAGCTTCTCCCATGCTCTTTCTAACTCCTGGGTGAAATTTCATTTCTCTTAAAAGGAAAAGAAGACAGGATGTACAATGTTTAATACTCGTGTCAAAATATGTCCTCATTCTATCGGTTGGAATTTTATGGAGCCAAAATCGAAACAATCTAGACAAACCACGCACTTTCCTAATGTAGGATTTGCAAATTAGGGTTTACAAAGAATATGTTTTCAATGGAAATGAGTAACTTTCATCAGGGAAAGAAAAAAACAGTTCACTGGAAGAAAGATTGCTAATTTATTTTCAAACATTCTGCCAGAAGCCAAAGCTTTCTACACTGAAGGCCAACGGTCAGAAAGAACTCGAAATGGACGGAAGTAGACCATTTGCATTCAGGTTTAGGATTTAAGTTCTAATATAAATCAATACACTTGTTTCCCTGCACATGTGAATCAGATTTTAAAAAATTGTTCTTCTTCCAGAATTCTTTTTGTTCCTTCTGAAGTCCTTTTGCCAGGTAGTCTCATCTGTTTCTTCTGTCTTTTAGGATACTGACTTTACTATTGCCAATGATCCAAATGTAAGAACTAGTGACTGGAGAGATGATGAGAAGCTCTGTGCGTGAATAAATGACATCAAACAAAGTATTTCAGATGTTGTGATAAAGCAGAGACTCAACTAAAACTGTCAGTAGTTTCAGATGTCAGTAGTTTCTCTCAAGTGTTATAATTGACAAATTCTGACAAATCTAGGTTATAATTACCCCCAAAATAGATGGTCTTAAGCAAGGTAATTGGAATTTTATTTCTCATCTCACATAACATGAAATATATGTTGTAGGAACAAGTCCAAGAGAGATGCTGTGGCTTTGCCATTAGGGACTCAATATCCTTTGGGTTCGGTTCCGCCTTTCTAAGTACATGGATTTGGTCCTCAAGCCATAAATTCCAGGAAAGAAGAAAGAATGAGTAAAGAGAATCAGGGGCATGTCACCGCTGTGCTAATTCCTTTTAAAGCATTTGCCTAGAAGTTCCACACAATATCTATTATTTAATCATTCTTGGTCACCAGTTCAAAATGATCAGCCATGCCACAGGAGAGAGATGAAGCATACTGCTCCCATAAAGAGTTATAGTCTTGGAAACTCACAGGGGCAGTTTTGTAGAGCCACTGTGAATCAGAATTGATTTGATGGCAGTGAGTTGGTTTTTTATCTTCTTGGTCACTTATAGCTGCAGTGGAGGCTGGGGAATTCTAGATTATGCTAACCTTCTGAGTTTGCACATGTAGGAGATTGTCTCTGCTCCACTCCTAGTTGAATATAGGCTCGCAGAGGCTTAGCCAGGGGATCTAAGGACTCTTGGACATTAGACATGGTCATGGGCTAAGAGCGGAGGAAAAGTTCCCTTATTGAGAACTTGGGCAACAACTAAGAAAAAACCACAAAAGAATTGATGCATTTGAATTGTGGTTTAGGTGATGAATATTAAAAGAAGAACAAAGCCATTTTTCTTGGTGGATTTATAGCCAGAAATCAGATGGTAGAGATGGTGAAATTTCTTCACATGTCCTTGGGGCATGTTATCAGGAAAGACCAATCTCTGGAAAAAGACGTAATACTTGATAAAGTTAGAGCGTCCGTGAAAAAGCGTAAGATCCCTCAATGAAATGGACGAACGTGGTGGCCACAGAAATGGGCTCAAACAGAATCGTGGCTGTGAGGATGGAGGGTACCAGGCAGTATTTTTTCTTTTGTGTATTGGATGGCGATGATTTGAAACCACTTAACAGCACCTACCGAAAACAAAAAGCTAGATGAAATTAGGAATGTTTCAGTACATGACACTAGAATTGAATTTCCCCTGGTCCAGGATACACTATTTTGACAAGGTTGTCACAGTGAGATTTCTATGGAGAAGTTTCATTGAGAACTCTAAGAAGCTACACCAGTAAGGAAGTGAGGAAGGTAGGGGAGAACTTGACCTACAACTTTGAAACAGTTGTGAAAGTATAATAGTGTGAAAAACAGGATGGTGTTTGTTCAAAGACTAAAATAGAGCTACCATATGGCCCAGCAAGTTTAGTTTTTTGTATATATCCTAGGAACCTGAACAAACAACTCAAACATTGCAGCACTATTCATAGCAAAACCAGAAGAAAAGAGTGGACCATTCTAA